TTTTCTGCTAAGGGGACAGGACAACTTCACCGCATCAAAGGGACAATGGACGGGCCATGTACCGTCAAATCTTGGGTGAGAACCTCCTTCCCTCAGCCAGGGCATTGAAAATGGGTCGTGGATGGGTATTCCAGCATGACAATGACCCAAAACACACGGCCAAGGCAACAAAGGAGTGGCTCAAGAAGAAACACATGAAGGTCCTGGAGTGGCCTAGCCAGTCTCCAGACCTTAATCCCATAGAAAATCTGTGGAGGGAGCTGAAGGTTCGAGTTGCCAAACGTCAGGCTCGAAACTTTAATGACTTGGAGAAGATCTGCAAAGAGGAGTGGGACAAAATCCCTCCTGAGATGTGTGCAAACCAGGTGGCCAACTACAAGAAATGTCTGACCTCTGTGATTGCCAACAAGGGTTTTGCCACCAAGTACTAAGTCATGTTTTGCAGAGGGGTCAAATACTTATTTCCCTCATTAAAATGCAAATAAATTCATAACATTTTTGACATGCGTTTTTCTGGATTTCTTTATTGTTATTCTGTCTCTCACTGTTCAAATAAACCTACCATTAAAATTATAGACTGATCATGTCTTTGTCAGTGGGCAAACATACAAAATCAGCAGGGGATCAAATACTTTTTTCCCTCACTGTAAAATGTACTCTTAACGACTTTACTATACAGATTAAATTGTTTACCCGCTGCATAGCAAGCTGCTCTTTCCGCACTGATTGGTGAAGTAATTTAACGTCGAGCTAAATGTAAAAAAAAACCTCAAATCTATTTCAGAGGTTTAAAAAGGAACAGAAACTATCTATATAAACCTGTACTTTATTTTGGTTTGAACCAGTTCAGAACTTTATTTTGCTGGTGGAACAGTGGAACGGAACAAAAAAAATAGTTATGTTCAAAATGAAACGATTGGAAAATAATTTTGGTTCCAACCCCTGGTGAATACTATAATGTACTACAGTCATGTATGCAAAAACACTACAGTGAATACTATAGTATACAGTATAAATATAGTCATACTACAGTATTTATACCATAGTAGACAAGTATCTATTTTATGTGGGTACACAGAGGTTTTCAATTAAAGAGAAAATGCATGCTACTAACACCACACTGGTTCAAGCGCTGGCCAGAAAACACAGTGAACAAAGGATAAAGATTTGTCAAACCATTGAATGACTGTTGGGAGTATATAAAAAATAGTGGACAAATTATTCATTTTTTCCAATTCTGTGAGGGTTTAAGGAGATGGACTGTAATGTATTTCTTTACTGAGATGGGCCTAGTACTCGCACATAGCAGAAGTTGCCCTTCGGCACAGATCTAGGATCAGTTGGGGTACCCTCCCTCCCCAATCTAAACCTCAACCACCAACCTGTGAAGCGTGATGTCACCTGTGGCTCTCATTGGAATGTGTCAACAGCTATAGGGCCAAGAATTGTGTATGTTTATTCTAGAACGACAGTAACCCCTAGGCCTGGGCAGTATGGCTGGAGCTTATTTGCAGCCTCACAGTTCTTCTAGCGATCTCAGGGCTGCACTTAATTCCAAAAAGATGTCTCCTTCCCTCTGCTCTCATTCACTTCCTTTCACAGATCTGGATAGGTGAGAGCAATACACCGGGAACTATGGTGAGTGATGGAGGCTTACACCTACCCAGTCCTCTCAGGTTTGTGAACGGTAGAGTCAAGTGAACAAGGGCAGATGGGAAGGGGTGCTATTTTTTTGGGATGAAATGTAGCCCAACCTTCTTCCAGACACACCTTCAGTCCCAGAGCGACTCAGCTCCACACATTGCCAGACATTCCAGTCTTACAGGCAGGCTGGCTTCTGAAGCACACTGGGATAATTCCTCTCTCTCTCTAGCATTGTAAACCCACATTTCTTCACCCTGCAACAGCGGAATCAATGTTAGAAATATGCCAGGGTTCGCAGTACTGAAGCCTACGGCATTCTCTTCCGAGGCAGAGACTTGTAGGAACAGCCTCCCACTGTGCCACAATCAACACCGTTATTTGGTGCAGAGACAAAGCAATAATTTTACAATCTTGGATAAGCATGGATAATTTTGTTTCTTGAAATACACAACAACAAAAAAACATAAGCCATGACTCAAATAATGACGAGGATGGTGCTTCAATTTTCTTATCCTTTATTCTCATACATAGGAAAATAGCATTTCTGGTATTCCAAAAAAAAGTAACCTGTATTTCAGCAGAACTGAATTATTACAGTAGTTGTGTGTGTTTGTGTGTGTACACTGGATGATAGAGTTACTGGGAGAGAGCGACCTATGGTTGAAGGTAAGGCAGAAAAGGGAATATTTACAATAGGACTGATTCAGAGGGACTAGACCAGCCATGGACACACAGCTGGGTCAGACGTCTGTCTAGGTGGGTTTGTGTGGTCACGATCTAATCAAATTAGTCATGTTCAAAGAAAGCAATACACAAACAATCTTAAAGAACAACAAACTGTTTCTGTAATGGCAAGAGACCATTTAATGATGATGATTGCCAGTGATACTGATGAAGTGCGGTGGTCCATTCTGAGTTTACCCATTCAAATTTAACAAGAAGCAAGAAAATGTGTTTTAAACAAAGGTTTGGCTCGTCATAGGTTCTGAATCACTGTGATGGGTGGCAAATGTGAGTGATGGATTGCACATTTGAGTACAATATAAGTGGGTATTAAGCACATGTACCCACTCTGGTTTCTCTCAAGGGATATGGGCCAAGACTGCTAGCCTGAAAAGTCCATTGTTTTCTCTATATGGTTTCCTAAGTGCAGTAGCCTGTTGAAAAAGCACCTTGTACACTCAAATCCAGAGCTACAGCTTATATACTCATAGCAGAGCCCTCCAGTCCTTGGCATAGCATTTAGAAAATATCTTTATTGTCCATGTCTTACAGCGAACAACGGAAATGTGTCTTCTGCTCCTTTCTCAGCACATATCACACACAGTTGAGACAAGCACAGGTTCAAGCTGCAGTGCAGGGCCCCTGGATGGAGAGCATGTTGTGGGGTTAAGGGCCTTGCTCAAGGGCCCAACAGTAGAGGAACGTCTTTAGGATGTGAATCCAGCAGCCCTCCAGTTGCCAGATCAATTCCCCCTTATCTTTCCAGTGCAATGCCCCAGGATTTGAACCAGCCACCTTTCAGTTACAGGTCCAATTCCTTAGCCTTTGGGCTACCTATAACTGTTCTCCATGCTTAACCCTCTCCTGCTAGACCTGCTAACATAAGTGCACTTGAGAACAGAGGGCTAATCTTGATGGGGTGTGATGGGTTAACTAATTAATGGAAGAGTGGGTCTCATAATTAACTCCTGTCTGGCTGATCTGATGACCCCTCAATAACATTCCACAGTTTCACCAAGCACAGACACCACTGGATAGCTTAATGTACTGACTAAGGGTTTCTCTGGATAGGAGCTTCTATATGTTCTGTACATGTAAATGAGATATTTGACAGATACAGATTGGACAAAGATCAGCTGCCCTTTTCAGGTACAGTACTGTACACTATAAATGATTAGCTTTGCTTGCTAACCTACTAACCTTCACTACTGTAAATGACTAAGCAGTTCTTCACATCGGGTTGCTTTGCATTGTAAAGCCAATGTATAAAACATACAGTATACACACACAGGTAGCTTTCGCCGAGTCTCTTTTGTCAGTTTAACATTGATTTCAAAGACATAGAAAGAAAGTAAAAGAGCTTATAGGTTCTACACCAGACAATGTGTGAGCAGTTCACACAAAAAGGTGATTGAAAAGTCAAGAGGACTTCTTGCTTGGCAACAAAAAAACCTAATCTCAGTTGTTTAAGAGCATGGACCAGGTGGGCCGCGGTGTCTGCTGGTTTTCACTCAGTCACTCGCCCTTCAAATCAGCATCTGACGCAAACCTGGGAAACCAGGTTGGTGTGAGTGGACTCTTAACTAATCAGTTATTACATAATGGACCAGTAAAGCACCATGGTGAAAACCAGCAGACACTAGTCTGCAGCCCTGAGGTCTTTTAGGGAGTGGGAGGAGGCACGAGGTCAGGGAAGCGGTGGTAACAGTACTGGATTGGCCGTTATGGTCAGGGAGGGATGTGGTTGGGCCAGAGGTTTGGCACCGAGGGGAGCAGGAGGGGATATGTAAGAGATTTAGACTCAAACCTGTTCTCTGAGAGAATCTGGCAGCTCACATATCAACACAGTACTTTCAAGTTTCAACTGGGCTAATAGCACAGATTATGGGCTAGAATGAGCTGGGTCAGTGCATTGACCTCTAAAACTGTCTTGAGGGTGTAACTCCTGAAGCAGATTCACAGAGCAATAGAATATGTAGAATAGAATGTGTGACAGTGTAGTGTTTTAAACACAATCCAATGACATATAAAACATTATCTTCTGAGAGTTAGACCGTGCACAGCTGCCTGTCACGTTTGTCATCTGCTCAGGGTAACGAGGTGTGTGTGTGTGTGTGTGTGGCAGGGGGATGTGATTTAACCTAAAGGCCTGAAATCCACTTTAAGCTGAACAATCACATCCCTGAGATGGCCGTTACCCATTAGTTCACTGTCTAGCACCAATACCTCATCTGCTCTGCTGCAGGAGGGAGTAGAGGAGAGGGTGAGGAGAGGCCGGCAGGGTCTGAATCAGATTCAGAACCCTACTCTTAGGTTTTGGTCCAGGTCTGCTCCTGTAGCACCAGTGTCCTGATGAGGACTCAGACTCCCTAACAGGGCCTCCCCGGGGAAGGGCTGGGTGGATGAGTCTGATTATTCTGTCAGCCTGTGGTCGGGTTGAGATTGGACTGGCCTGGGTTGGGCAGGCACAGCCAGGGTGTAGGTGGGGGACCAGGCTGCTCTGAATTCTAGAGGCAAGTTCTTATAATTCTGCCATCCAGGTCAAGCGCTGCAACGGGGTTAAGGGTGAGGAGGGTGGCATCAGGATCACGACTGGACTGAGCTGGGTTTGCTGTGTCGACATGCTGGCTGGGTCAGACGGTAGTTCTGACGATTCTGCCAGGCCGGGGGCTGCGGTGCACCTTGGTGTGTTTGGAGAGGTGGTCACTGCGGGCAAACTTCTTCTCACACAGAGAGCACTCGTAGGGTTTGACCCCGGAGTGGGAGCGCCGGTGACGAGACAGCTCATCAGAACGAGAGAACCTACAGAGATAGAGGTGCTTTGATCATTTCTCTGAATTCTAATTGTTTCTACGCTAAACACTTAGCTCAGTCAGTTCCAGCTAAGTGTGTCAGGAGGCCTGTTATTCCCACTGTTTGATTGCCCCCAAATTAGCGCTCAGACACAGCTCTGAGGGAAATAGGAACACTAAATGGTGGGTCAAACAGTATTTACAATTTACAGTGCCTTCAGAAAGTATTCATACCCCTTGACTTATTCCACATTGTGTTATGTTCCAGCCTGAATTCAATATGTTTTCTTCTCACCCATCTACACACAATACCCCATAATGACAAAGTGAAAACATGTTTGTAGAAATGTTTGCACATTTATTGAAGATTAAATATAGAAATCTCATTTGCACAAGTGTTCACACCCTTGAGTCACTACTTTGTAGAAGCACCTTTGGCAGCGATTACAGCTGTGAGTCTTTCTGGGTAAGTCTCTAAGAGCTTTCGACACCTGGATTGTGTAACATTTGTCCATAATTATTTTCAAAATTCTTCAAGCTGTCAAATTTGTTGTTGATCATTGCTAGATAACCATTTTCAGTTCTTGCCATAGATTTTCAAGTACATGGAAGTCAAAACTGTAACTCGGCCACTCAGGAACATTCACTGTCTTCTTGGTAAGCAACTGGCCTTGTATTTTAGGTGATTGTCTTGCTGAAATGTTAATTAATCTCCCAGTGTCAGGTGGAAAGCAGACTGAACTAGGCTTTCCTCTAGGATTTTGCCTCCATTCCATTTCTTTTTTATCCTGAAAAACTCTCCAGTCCTTGACGAAGAAAATGAAGAGTGGCACTCAGTGATGTGTTGTGTTAGATTTGTCTCAAACACCTTGTATTCAGGACAAAAAGTGAATTGCTTTACCACATTTTTTGCAGTATTACTTTAGTGCCTTGTTGCAAACAGGATGGATGTTTTTGGAATATTTGTATTCTGTACAGGCTTCCTTCATTTCACTCTGTAATTTAGGTTAGTGTTGTGGGGTAACTACAATGTTGTTGATCCATCCTCAATTTTCTCCTATCACAGCCATTAAACTCTGTTTTAAAGTCACCTCATGGTGAAATCCCTGAGCGGTTTCCTTCCTCGCCAGCAACTGAGTTAGGAAGGACGCCTGTATCTTTGTAGTGACTGGGTGTATTGATACACCATCCAAAGTGTAATTAATAACTTCACCATATTATTGCACACAGAGTGAATCCATGCAACTTATTATGTAACTTGTTAAGCACATTTTTACTCCTGACCTTATTTAGGCTTGCCATAACAAAGGGGTTGAATACTTATTGACTCAAGACATTTCAGCTTTTCATTTTTAATTAATTTGTAAAAATTTCAAAAAACATAATTCCACTTTGATATTATGAGGCATTGTGTGTAGGCCAGTAAAAAATAAATACATGTCAATTTAATCCATTTTAAATTCAGGCTGTAACAACACAATGTGAAAAAAAGTCAAGGGTTGTGAATACTTTCTGAAGGCACTGTACAAACAACATTATAAGCATATATTTTCACATCCTCTAACTACCTTAATAACCCTAACCCCAATCCTTTCCTTACAGAGCTCACTGCAGTTGCTTATTGGGAAACTGTAACTGTTAGCAACAGTGAGTGTGTTGTAATATCTAATATTTGCTGAGCTTCTATATTGTTACTGTTTTATACCAGCTCTACTTCCTACCTCTGCAGAGACAGAACAATATTTACTTTATGTTCAGCTTTACAAAATAATTACAGTGCAATACTGTATGTCAATATCCTAACAAAAATAACAACTGTGATAGAGCATCTGTTTGCCACTGTCATCATTATACCCACTTCATTTTGAACCAGTCATTACAGACTTTTCTTTATTCTCTCTCCGTTTTATTAACCTATCACATGCTAATGACTAGCCTATATGGTAATAAACTACATTTAACAAACCCAAGATTCCTGTGTTTTCTCTGCATCTTGACTAGCATTGTTATATATATATATATATAAATAAATATAACTCACCTCCAGACACAGTCAGGCCAGCTGCAGGTGTAGGGCTTTTCTCCGGTGTGTCTGCGGAAGTGGGCCTTCAGATGGCTGCTCTTGGTGTACATCTTCTCACAGCCCGGGTGAGAACACTTGTGCACCCTCAGCGTCTCTTTAGGAGGGGGTCTGTTCACCCTAGGGGGGGCCACAGCTTTCACCACGGCCCCTCCACTGTGACCCACAACCACTGTTGCCCCAACAAGCCCCCCGGTAACCCTCACAGTGATTGGTAGAGGGGCAATCTTCACATACTTCTGGTCTGGAGCGTCCGTGCTGGCTATGTTGAGAAGGGTGGCTGAGGCGGAGGGCACCTGTGGGGCCAGCAGGGTAACGTTCTGCCCTCCGTGGAGTCCCAGGACCAGGTGGGCCAATCTCAGCCCGCTGGATGCACCAGGAGGAGAGCCTGTCTGGGGGTGAGGCTGGGCCAGAGGCAAGGACTGGACCTGGAGAACCAGGGGTGCTCCCAGGAGCACTGGGGGGGTGGTGGGGGGGTGGGGAGGGGAACAGGGCTGCTGGGCTGGGGGTGTGAGGGGTGTTGGGGATTTGTGGGGTGGGGGGTGACAGGGCAGCGCTGGTGCCTGGGTCACTGTGTCCCCCTGGGGAGGAGAAGGGTTGTTTCATGGAGCTGGAAGGGGAGGGAGCGGGCTCCTCTATGGGTTCACCAGGGAAGAGAACCCCCTCTCTCACCAGCTCCATCTTCTCCCTGAGGAACTCCTCGATGTCCTCCAGGGTGGGAGAGAAGGGTGAGGGCAGGCGGGGGCTGAAGTCAAGCAGACCCTCTGTGGGGGTCAGATAGAGTCGGAGCAGGCCCCCTTCCTCTCCGTCATCCTCCTCCTCTCCAGGGCTGAAGCTGAGTCCAGCCCCCATGTCCCCAGCCTCGGGGCTGTAACACGAAGCAAAGCTACCCCCCTCGCTCCCCCCCTCACTGCCCTCTCCCTCCACAAGCCCCAGGGAGACCAGGCTAACGCTGTCCCTAAAGAGGTCATTATCAGAGACCAGCGCTCTGCTGCTTAACGACACCATTGATACAGTCCAGATACACAGGAGAACCACGCTTCTCACTACACCTGCATAGAAAACGTGGGGGATACTGCAGTTAAAAACATAAATGCTGAATCATGAATAAGAATATAATATTTAATACAGATTGAATTAAGTACCTAATTATAGGGCAAAATAAATATAATGGGGGATGTATAGAAAGGGTAGTTGAAAGCATTAATTCTCGTCAGAAAGTAAAAAATCATTCAATTGAATGTGTTTCATTTGCAAGATCTCTTGAGTTATTACCATTTTGTAACCTGGTAATAATAACTGAAACCTGACAATCTACAAATAATTAGGCCAAACATCCAATCCGAATGGGATCAAGGCCTATATACATGTACTGAAACAGAGCAAATCTATCACCAAATGAAAAATAAACACATTAGTGCTTTTTAATGTCATTCATAACAATGTAGCAAAACTCTGGACAATTAAATGGATTCATTGTGCATAATGATGTGCCCAGTGTAAACAGTGGCAGGGTTGCCATGTCGGCAATTTTCCTTTGAAAACTATGTTGAGGGTGAAAATGTATTGGTCACGGGTTGCGGATTTTTGGGCTACTTCTAAATTCCACCGCGGCCGCCATGGCATTTCTCTTTTATTTATTTTTGATTCATTTCACTGTAACCTGCTACTACTGCCTCTCAGGGAGTGATGCAGGCTGTTGCTGAGTGAGTAAGTCAGTGGCCATGTTCGAGGGGATCATAGCCACAATAGCATGGGTAAATTGTGACTGACCGATCTACAAATAATAATGAGTTGTTATTTATGATGCAAGGTGATTTGTAGATCAGTCAGTCGGCAGTCACCTGCAGTCGTTTTGATGCTCTCGAACACGGCCAATGAGTGGTGGGGAGGGAACGCCGGAGGGGTGTGTGTGTGTGTGTGTGTGTGTTGAGCACAGTCATTGGTGTTGAGAAAGCGCTGCAGAAGGCAGTCATGCCAAGCGATGTGAGAACAACGAACTAATAAACTAGCACTAGCTATCTACATACTTCTCCCTCATAATTCTTGTTTGCCTCGTTCGTTGTATCCTGACCGCCCCCAGTCCTACCAATCATTACTAGAGCCAACACTGCAAGGGAGAGAAACTGAGAAATAATCATCCAACAGTTTCAGCGAGAGGATCAAACTATGTGCTTTCTCTCTGGGTAGACTATGTAGCCAGGGCTCGAAATTAAAGGCCTCCTGTCGTCCCGGGACGATAAAGAAAATATGTCTGGGACGGTTTAAACAGACTAGGAAAGTTCTGGGATGATTGATTCAAAATCATACAACTACTGTACATCAAAAAATGTTAAAACGCAATGAGGCTAATGCAACAAATCAGAATATTTAGCTTAAAATGTTGATAAACTACAGTGGGGAAAAAAAGTATTTAGTCAGCCACCAATTGTGCAAGTTCTCCCACTTAAAAAGATGAGAGAGGCCTGTAATTTTCATCATAGGTACACATCAACTATGACATACAAAATGAGGAAAAAAATCCAGAAAAAACATCCAGAAAATCACATTGTAGGATTTTTTATGAATTTATTTGCAAATTATGGTGGAAAATAAGTATTTGGTCAATAACAAAAGTTTCTCAATACTTTGTTATATACCCTTTGTTGGCAATGACACAGGTCAAACGTTTTCTGTAAGTCTTCACAAGGTTTTCACACACTGTTGCTGGTATTTTGGCCCATTCCTCCATGCAGATCTCCTCTAGAGCAGTGATGTTTTGGGGCTGTCGCTGGGCAACACGGACTTTCAACTCCCTCCAAAGATGTTCTATGGGGTTGAGATCTGGAGACTGGCTAGGCCACTCCAGGACCTTGAAATGCTTCTTACGAAGCCACTCCTTCGTTGCCCGGGCGGTGTGTTTGGGATCATTGTCATGCTGAAAGACCCAGCTACGTTTCATCTTCAATGCCCTTGCTGATGGAAGGAGGTTTTCACTCAAAATCTCACGATACATGGCCCCATTAATTCTTTCCTTTACACGGATCAGTCGTCCTGGTCCCTTTGCAGAAAAACAGCCCCAAAGCATGATGTTTCCACTCCCATGCTTCACAGTAGGTATGGTGTTCTTTGGATGCAACTCAGCATTCTTTGTCCTCCAAACACGACGAGTTGAGTTTTTACCAAAAAGTTATATTTTGGTTTCATCTGACCATATGACATTCTCCCAATCCTCTTCTGGATCATCCAAATGCACTCTAGCAAACTTCAGACGGGCCTGGACATGTACTGGCTTAAGCAGGGGGACACGTCTGGCACTGCAGGATTTGAGTCACTGGCGGCGTAGTGTGTTACTGATGGTAGGCTTTGTTACTTTGGTCCCAGCTCTCTGCAGGTCATTCACTAGGTCCCCCCGTGTGGTTCTGGGATTTTTGCACACCGTTCTTGTGATCATTTTGACCCCATGGGGTGAGATCTTGCGTGGAGCCCCAGATCGAGGGAGATTATCAGTGGTCTTGTATGTCTTCCATTTCCTAATAATTGCTCCCACAGTTGATTTCTTCAAACCAAGCTGCTTACCTATTGCAGATTCAGTCTTCCCAGCCTGGTGCAGGTCTACAATTTTGTTTCTGGTGTCCTTTGACAGCTCTTTGGTCTTGGCCATAGTGGAGTTTGGAGTGTGACTGTTTGAGGTTGTGGACAGGTGTATTTTATACTGATAACAAGTTCAAACAGGTGCCATTAATACAGGTAACGAGTGGAGGACAGAGGAGCCTCTTAAAGAAGAAGTTACAGGTCTGTGAGAGCCAGAAATCCTGCTTGTTTGTAGGTGACCAAATACTTATTTTCCACCATAATTTGCAAATAAATTCATAAAAAATCCTACAATGTGATTTTCTGGAAAAAGAATTCTCAATTTGTCTGTCATAGTTGACGTGTACCTATGATGAAAAGTACAGGCCTCTCATCTTTTTAAGTGGGAGAACTTGCACAATTGGTGGCTGACTAAATACTTTTTTCCCCCACTGTATTTCTTCACATAAGCGCAGCAATGTGCACGAAGCAGTAGCCTACGCGCAAATGTTCCAAAAATGCAATTAGCGGGAACACACCTTTCTAAAAAGCGCACCGCACATGCGAGCGATTTCATCTGACAGAGTTGAAAATAATTTTGAAAGAGGGGAGATCTAATATGACTAGGATGGAGTCTGCCTGCTGGACAATGAAATTAAGTTGATTTGAAAACCAATAGAACAATAGAAAACGCTGATTTCAATGGCATAAGGAATTGTTTATAAAATCATTTGGCTAAGCTACTTTGAAAATGTTTTTGTTTAAACAAATGTTTACAGTTAATGGTTATGCCCCGTGTAGCTCAGTTGGTAGAGCATGGCGCTTGCAACGCCAGGGTTGTGGGTTCGTTTCCCACGGGGGGCCAGTATGAAAATATATGCACTCACTAACTGTAAGTCGATCTGGATAAGAGCGTCTGCTAAATGACGTAAATGTAAATAGTTTCAAAATGCAGACTGCCTCCGTTCAGATTTCAAGGTGGGTGATGTGTGCGGTGCGCAACAGGAACTGGCGTTTCTCTCCGCTCTTGTGACCATTTGATCTGAATGAACCGTGCTTGGAGTATGTCAACAGAATCAAACCTTTAGACATTAATTATACTAAATTATAATTGTCAAACATGACTGGCGTTTAGCCTATATTTAAGTAATTAAAAGTATCTTTAAAATGTGGCTTCGGTATCAGTGTGGACTGTGAGGCTGAAGCCAATAAGTATTCAACCTAGGCTACACTTACATGTAGGCAAATTATTTATGTACTTTTATGCGAAATAGATTGAAATATTATTCCAATGTTGGCTTTTTTAGAGGATTCTTTTGACAGGCCCATGTATCTACTTCAGTAGTAGGCTACTCTTATTAGCCTTTTAAATCTATGAATTACCTATGTCCTATGAGTAGACCCAATTTAATTTGGGACGGTTTAAAATTGCACTTTGGAACAATTTTGGGATGGTGATGAAAAAAGTATTGAGCCCTGTATGCAGCAAGCTAGCTAGCTAACATTGGCCAGAAAGTTGAAGTTAGAGGAGAGAGAGCAGCACAGAGGTGAGGACAGAGCGGAACCGATTAACTCCATTACTGACTATCAAATTATAATAGTAGTGATTGATTGATTAATAGTATAATGAACTCTGTTGATGTACTTGGACTCATGATGGATCGCCTCTCTCTTTTTCCCTTTCCATCTTGCTCCAGAGGGATGGATGACTGGGACATTAGGCTGCAGCCACACATCAATTTACTTTTTTTATGGAATAAAAGAAGCCAAAAAGCAAACTGTTTGGGCTTTTCGATTTTTATACTCCAGTTGAAAATAAAATTATTTGAAAGCAAAGTGAGTTGTATATTACCACTATTTCACAATGGTTAAAACCGTTTTAGTTGTTCAGTTTGTCATTCTTTTGTCTTTTGTCTTATGTTTGTTGTGTAGTAAATATTTCAGCTTTTATTTCTATTGTTTCCTGTGATGCACATTGTGTTGCATTCCATGTCTGAAATGTGCTGTATAAATAAAGCTTGATTTGAACACCATTTCACAATGTTTTATGAAAAAAACATCCATCATACCCATTCCCTATCTATCCATCACTTCTATAGTTCAAATGAAATCATTTGGTGTGATAAACCAATAACAAAGGGAGAAATGCAGAGATCAAGGTAAAGCAATTTTACCAGTTGTATTTAGATTGTCATTATGGAGACACCTATTGGATAAATGTGGCGACTCCTCACTTGCTGCGAAAAACATTTTTTGCCCTACTTCAGGCCGTGTAGTGGGTTTTCAGTAGTTATGCCTCAAAATTGTAGCTGGACCTGGCAACCCTGAACATTGGCCACATGACGCGCATATGTGTATCGGGCGCAAAACAACATGGAGCAGGACTGTAATAAGTGCGTATTACACCAAAGTGAAAACTGTAAAGCGTAATGGGCCTACAATCAATGAACTATCTTCGACATTAGCAAACAGTATTATTTAGAACTTCAACTGCTTTTAAATTCAGCGCATGGGCAGGCGAGGCGCATGGCAAAAGCGACCTGACTACAACAGCCAGACAGGAATTCACAAGTCTCAAGTTCGCAGTGTAGGGTCAACATATTATAAATACAAATCTAACAATACAGCGCAACCGAAGACAGCAAATACCACTAGTGAGGGTGAACTTACCGTCGATAATCATGAACTATATTAAAACCTTTCGAAATGCACGGTTCTCGAAGGTTTTCACCGTCGTCTTATTTTTGCAGAAAGGGATCCCGTCCTTGCCACTGTTCCATGTTGGCATTCTTTCTGAGGCCATCACATGACTGCATTGCTGTAAACTAGGAGGCACGGATCCAATTCCGCCGTTCTGATTGGCTAAGCGTATGGAGGCTCGCCCTAAAACAAGGGATTTTATTGGTTTCCGCTCGATGAACGCGGTTTGCCATTATTTTTGGAAATGTCACTGATGTAGGCCTACTGTCCAGAGTGCCACATTCAAGTGCTAATCGAAACTAGGAAACGGACATTTCCATTTCAATCATTTAGCAGACGCTCTTATCCAGTGCGACTTACAGTAGTGAGTGCACACATTTTCATACTGGTCCCCCGTGGGAATCGAACCCACAACCCTGGCGTTGCAAGCACCATGCTCTACCAACTGAGCCAAACGGGACTATTTCCGACTTGCTAATTGGTCTGCTTGAAGTTATACAAACAGTTAGCTAGTCGAACATTTCCAAATGTACTAGTTCCGACTAGTACGTGAACGCGGCAAATGTATCTAGTGTTTTCAAAATGATGTCATACACATCGTGGCTCGTTCAGAAACCGTCAGTCATGAACTGAACAAGATGGTAGCGCTTTGAACTGCAGGTATGGTACAATGGACCTTTTGTTCAACTGTAGCCTATGCATTGCTTAATTAGTATGAACAATGACAGCCTTCTTCATGCTTAACCAAATGTTGGTGTCACTCAGCCCGGTGGAGAGCACAGGGATGACCACGAAACTAGAGACCTCCATTCTGGTGTTTGGGAGAGTGCAGCAATACAATGGGGACCTCTGCTGGAGATTCAGGATATTGGTCACAACGATCCAGAGTCGGCTATAATTTTAATCCCCTAATTTTGTCGATTTTGGTGGGGTAATCTGATTCCAACTTCTGTATTGAACATGAAGGACTGTTAAGGTTTTATAATTTAGATTACATATGAAAAATGTATTATGTTTAAAATATTTTATTCATAACACAAAAGGAAGGAGAAAGAATGCTTGCATATAAAAATGCAATAATGTAAGGCACTACGACCTGCTATTACCCTGTGTAATAACTTCATGTTTTTAAACACTGGATAGGTGCAGTGAAATGTGTTGTTTTACAGGGTCAGCCATAGTAGTATGGCACCCCTGGAACAAAGTAATAACTAATCATTTTCCTTGATACAATTACAAACAGTTTAAACCGTGAAAAACTATAAAACCAACCAATATATTATGTAAGAAATATATAGCTAATTTTTGCAGAACATTTTACCATTAGGTGAAAGCATGTCCAAGGACACCATGCCAGGAAAACATGGAATAACTGTACATTTCCCACCTGATGACAATGTATTATTACATTCAAGTACATGGTTTAAAAATAAGGCATTTAGCTATCAGCCTACAATGGAAACTGATTTTCCTGCACTGAGCTCCCTGAGGAATACAATGCCACACTTAATTCCCAATACATACACACAATCATATGTTATCAATACATACCATTTCACTCTCTTTTCAAGTAATCATGATATCATAGCATATCGAAAACAGAAGATTTACATGTTGGGTTAAGGCATAGGGATAGGGGACAAAGACTCTTGATGTATTATCCAAAACACAATTGTCACTGTTCATATGACTACCTAGTTCTTTATGTCAACATAAGAAACTATAAGGTTCGTAAACTCATTACAATTAGAGATAAAGAAATGCCATAGCGGAATGACACACCAACCAACAGTAGATAAATACATTGACAAAACTATATGAAATGTGCCCAGAAGTAACAGCACACAATGTGATTCTGTGGCTGGAAGTAAAAAGTATGTGCAGAAAGAATGATCTGTCCCTTAGATTATGTTGTTAATCTCTACCTGTGTCAACATAGCTCTTGAGCTGTTGACACAGTATGTATGACATGAAAAATTGGCCAGTCTGTCTGTCTGTCTCAGAGGTGCTGATGTCAGAGCTGCAATCCCAAACCCTTTGAGGAGTCAGACGGCATATTTCTCATTCTACAGGATTCTATACCAGATTCTATAACGGACTGCCAAAATCTAGTAGAAATCTGCAATTCCACAATAGAACACAGATAACAACTAGAATCCACAATGGATTAACCCTTTAGCCCCCTCAGCGTTGGAGTGTCGCCCTTTGACCCTGTGAGCCTGTGGAAGTCGCTGCGTGTGAAGACGACCCCGGTGGAGCAGAGCAGGGACAGGAGGCTGAGGAAGCAAGCTGAGGCCATATAGGCACTGACGCTGTGTGATTGCTGCACTATGGAGCCCAGACACAGAGCAGGCAGCACCTGCAGGGGAGGGAACAGAACACAATAGAACAGTACATTATTAGGCATAATTGTTGAGACAAATATTTGTCCCAAGACAACACAAAGACACACAGACATGCACGCACAGGTCAACCGGTCTAACTTGTAGAGAGACTAGCAGCTGTCCTTACCTGGGAGAGCAGGTAGGCACTGTCCAGGATAGCCATGTCCAGACACATTCCTCTCTGAGGCAGGGATACGGCCTCTCCCTCTCTCTCCAGGGGCAGAGACACTTTGGGGGAGGCAGAGGTGAGAAGGGGGGCCTTGCCATGGTCGGGGGGAAGGAGGAGCTTGGAGTGGGTGTGGTTGTCACTTTCTCCTGGGTGAGAAGGTCTGGATTTGTAGCTGGAGAAAAAGACCTGAGAGAGAGAGAGATGTGGTTTAACTACTGTGATCACTTCTGTCAGAACGTGGCGTAGTTGTTTCGGTCGGTGCCGGCCATTCATCTGGCTCCTGTGTGTGGGGGTTCTGCTGGGCCTGCAGGTCTTGCCCCAGGCCTCTCACCTAGCTGCACTGCTCTACCCACAGCGCCCCCGCTGGCTGGAGTGGTAATGTGTGTGTGTGTCTTACCTGTCTGTCAGAGTGGTACAGACACAGCAGGGTGTAGGGCAGGACCTGCAGCACACAGAAGGTATATCCAGTAGCTGCGGCCATGACTGTGACCATCACTACACTCTTTGAGAAGCTCATCACAGCTGTAGCTAACGCTAGCAGGATCACACTGCTAACGTACACAGCCCGGGCACCTAGCAACACCATCCAGCGCTCCATCAGGATGGAGCAGACCACGGAGATCAGGCACTGCAGGAACAGACCCATGCTCGCCATGCGTACACCTGGGAGATATGAGGGGAGAGTAGGTCTATGGCTGCATTGAAATGGGTGAATTGAAAATCTTTTATAAAAATGTTACAGGGTAAGGAGGAGACCAAAGGAAAAAAGGAGGTTGCTGTTAATGAAAATATAAGAAATGTATATAGTAAGTATAAGCTGGAAGTAGAGGCCTAAGCATTGTTGTTCACTAGTTTACTCCAATTAGGGAAAGGGTGGTGGGGTTGGAAAGTAATAAAGGGGAATATATAAAAAAAAAAAAGATATGTATGTGTATGTATGTATGTATGTATGTATGTATGTGTGTGTGTGTATATATATGTATATATGTGTGTATGTGTATGTGTATATATATATATGTATGTATGTGTGTATATGTATGTATGTGTGTATATGTATATATATATATATGTATACAGTGGGGGAAAAAGTATTTAGTCAGCCACCAATTGTGCAAGTTCTCCCACTTAAAAAGATGAGAGAGGCCTGTAATTTTCAACATAGGTACACATCAACTATGACAGACAAATTGAGAAAAAAAAATTCCAGAAAATCACATTGTAGGATTTTAATGAATTTATTTGCAAATTATGGTGGAAAATAAGTATTTGGTCACCTACAAACAAGCAAGATTTCTGGCTCTCACAGACCTGTAACTTCTTCTTTAAGAGGCTCCTCTGTCCTCCACTCGTTACCTGTATAAATGGCACCTGTTTGAACTTGTTATCAGTATAAAAGACACCTGTCCACAACCTCAAACATTCACACTCCAAACTCCACTTTGGCCAAGACCAAAGAGCTGTCAACGGACACCAGAAACAAAATTGTAGACCTGCACCAGGCTGGGAAGACTGAATCTGCAATAGGTAAGCAGCTTGGTTTGAAGAAATCAACTGTGGGAGCAATTATTAGGAAATGGAAGACATACAAGACCACTGATAATCTCCCTCGATCTGGGGCTCCACGCATGATCTCACCCCGTGGGGTCAAAATGATCACAAGAACGGTGAGCAAAAATCCCAGAACCACACAGGGGGACCTAGTGAATGACCTGCAGAGAGCTGGGACCAAAGTAACAAAGCCTACCATCAGTAACACACTACGCCGCCAGGGACTCAAATCCTGCAGTGCCGGACGTGTCCCCCTGCTTAAGCCAGTACATGTCCAGGCCCGTCTGAAGTTTGCTAGAGTGCATTTGGATGATCCAGAAGAGGATTGGGAGAATGTCATATGGTCAGATTAAACCAAAATATAACTTTTTGGTAAAAACTCAACTCGTCGTGTTTGGAGGACAAAGAATGCTGAGTTGCATCCAAAGAACACCATACCTACTGTGAAGCATGGGGGTGGAAACATCATGCTTTGGGGCTGTTTTTCTGCAAAGGGACCAGGACGACTGATCCGTGTAAAGGAAAGAATGAATGGGGCCATGTATCGTGAGATTTTGAGTGAAAACCTCCTTCCATCAGCAAGGCATTGAAGATGAAACGTGGCTGGGTCTTTCAGCATGACAATGATCCCAAACACACCGCCCGGGCAACGAAGGAGTGGCTTCGTAAGAAGCATTTCAAGGTCCTGGAGTGGCCTAGCCAGTCTCCAGATCTCAACCCCATAGAAAATCTTTGGAGGGAGTTGAAAGTCCGTCTTGCCCAGCGACAGCCCCAAAACATCACCGCTCTAGAGGAGATCTGCATGGAGGAATGGGCCAAAATACCAGCAACAGTGTGTGAAAACCTTGTGAAGACTTACAGAAAACGTTTGACCTGTGTCATTGCCAACAAAGGGTATATAACAAAGTATTGAGAAACTTTTGTTATTGACCAAATACTTATTTTCCACCATAATTTGCAAATAAATTCATAAAAAATCCTACAATGTGGTTTTCTGGAATTTTTTTTCTCATTTTGTCTGTCATAGTTGATGTGTACCTATGATGAAAATTACAGGCCTCTCTCATATTTTTAAGTGGGAGAACTTGCACAATTGGTGGCTGACTAAATACTTTTTTCCCCCACTGTATACAGTGGGGAGAACAAGTATTTGATACACTGCCGATTTTGCAGGTTTTCCTACTTACAAAGCATGTAGAGGTCTGTAATTTTTATCTTAGGTACACTTCAGCTGTGAGAGACGGAATCTAAAACAAAAATCCAGAAAATCACATTGTATGATTTTTAAGTAATTAATTTGGATTTTATTGCATGACATAAGTATTTGATACATCAGAAAAGCATAACTTAATATTTGGTACAGAAACCTTTGTTTGCAATTACAGAGATCATAAGTTTCCTGTAGGTCTTGACCAGGTTTGCACACACTGCAGCAGGGATTTTGGCCCACTCCTCCATACAGACCTTCTCCAGATCCTTCAGGTTTCGGGGCTGTCACTGGGCAATACGGACTTTCAGCTCCCTCCAAAGATTTTCTATTGGGTTCAGGTCTGGAGACTGGCTAGGCCACTCCAGGACCTTGAGATGCTTCTTACGGAGCCACTCCTTAGTTGCCCTGGCTGTGTGTTTCGGGTCGTTGTCATGCTGGAAGACCCAGACACGACCCATCTTCAATGCTCTTACTGAGGGAAGGAGGTTGTTGGCCAAGATCTTGCGATACGTGGCCCCATCCATCCTCCCCTCAATACGGTGCAGTCGTCCTGTCCCCTTTGCAGAAAAGCATCCCCAAAGAATGATGTTTCCACCTCCATGTTTCACGGTTGGGATGGTGTTCTTGGGGTTGTACTCATCCTTCTTCTTCCTCCAAACACGGCGAGTGGAGTTTAGACCAAAAATATATATTTTTGTCTCATCAGACCACATGACCTTCTCCCATTCCTCCTCTGGATCATCCAGATGGTCATTGGCAAACTTCAGACGGGCCTGGACATGCGCTGGTTTGAGCAGGGGGATTTTGCGTGCGCTGCAGGATTTTAATCCATGACGGCGTAGTGTGTTACTAATGGTTTTCTTTGAGACTGTGGTCCCAGCTCTCTTCAGGTCATTGACCAGGTCCTGCCGTGTAGTTCTGGGCTGATCCCTCACCTTCCTCATGATCATTGATGCCCCACGAGGTGACATCTTGCATGGAGCCCCAGACCGAGGGTGATTGACCGTCATCTTCAACTTCTTCCATTTTCTAATAATTGCGCCAACAGTTGTTGCCTTCTCACCAAGCTGCTTGCCTATTGTCCTGTAGCCCATCCCAGCCTTGTGCAGGTCTACAATTTTATTCCTGATGTCCTTTCACAGCTCTCTGGTCTTGGCCATTGTGGAGAGATTGGAGTCTGTTTGATTGAGTGTGTGGACAGGTGTCTTTTATATAGGTAACGAGTTCAAACAGGTGCAGTTAATACAGGTAATGAGTGGAGAACAGGAGGGCTTCTTAAAGAAAAACGAACAGGTCTGTGAGAGCCGGAATTCTTACTGGTTGGTAGGTGATCAAATACTTATGTCATGCAATAAAATGCAAATTAATTACTTAAAAATCATACAATGTGATTTTCTGGATTTTTGTTTTAGATTCCGTCTCTCACAGTTGAAGTGTACCTATGATACAAATTACAGACCTCTACATGCTTTGTATGTAGGAAAACTTGAAAAATCGGCAGTGTATCAAATACTTGTTCTCCCCACTGTATATAAAAACATGGGGGATTGGAAGTGATGCAGACAATTACATTGATGGAAGTTACAATCTATCTGCAATATTAAGCTGATCTACCCCCTAAAAAAAATTATGAAAAGATAAGAATCAAGTAAATGTCTGCCCATCCTACCTTCGTCGTATCGTAGTCTCTCCTGTGTTCCAGGTGTAGCGTTGGGTACTCCACGGTACAGCCCCACTCCCATAAAGTCTGTATAGAACAGCATGAAACTCATCAGAGCCATCCAGCTGAACAGCTCAGCTACAAACAGCCGCCGTATCACTGCCGGCACGCGCATACACACACCGTACACATGCGGCAGTGCCGATACGCACAGCGACACACACCACCCCACAGCCATCCGCACACACTGGGGCCGCGACAGCAAGGGGTGTGCACAGTATCGGCTCCTCCAAGGGGAAGGGCTCAGGGCGGAACTAACGCTAACGCCCTTCCTGGTTTTCTCTCCTTCTCCTCCGGTCCATCTGTCCTCTGAGATGAAGACTGTGCTGAAGAGGCAGGTGAGGAAGATGAGGGTGATCAACGCGTAGATAAAGGCCTCCTGGCCACCCAGGTAGGCTGCTGTGGGGGCATGGCTCCAGTCCAGGGCTGGGAGCAGGTACCTAGGATGAGACAGAGAGGGATCACAGAGGTGGACTTTCTGGTCTCTTTTATGACATGACCTCTGATCTTGAGAGAGAGAGAGAGGTCCCTTACCCAAGGCATCCTCCCAGGCTGATCATCAGTGAGTAGACAGAGAAGGCCCTTCTGCTCTCCTCCTCTCCAGGGAATTGGTCTGAGATCAGCGCTTCCAGCGGTGTGAAACAGGCCTGTGGATAACAACAGTCATTTAGGTGCTATCAACTCCACACACACACACACACACACACACACACACACACAGTAAGGAGCAATCAAATAAAGAATTCAAATAAAGTCATACAAATCTACATCCCAATGTTATCTATTTAACAATATATTGAGATTTTCTGCTTCACCTGCCCTGAGAACTCCAGCAGACAGGCTGCCCCCGCCAGCAGTACCCCTTCCAGCCAGCGGGGGCGCTGTGGGTAGAGCAGGGCAGCTAGGTGAGAAGCCTGGGGCAAGACCTGCAGGCCCAGCAGAACCCCCACACACAGGAGCCAGATGAATGGCCGGCGCCGACCAAAACGACCACGCCACGAGTCACTATACGAACCGATCATGGGCACGAAGATCAAACCCAGAACCGGCCCGACTCCTGAGAAGAGAGAGAGAGAGAGAGGTAGAGAGGGAAGAGAAGGAGATAGGGAAGATCTACTTCAAAGCTCAATAACAAATCCCTTATTTCAACCATGGTCATAGTGTTTACACTACGGTCACTCATCCAGAACTAAGGTCATATAGTGTTGACTCACCCAGCACCATGGTCATGTAGCGTTCCTCCATGCCGGCCTGCAGCAGTAGAGGGGGGATGTAGAAAGTCCCTGCAGCCATACACACCTCCAGACCACAGGTCAACGTATTCACCAGCAACAGCTGACACACACGGCCTTGCATGACTCAAAGATAATTCCTCTGTCTATACCTCTATAGCTCTATCTCTATACTTGACACGTCCACTCTATGTCTCGCTCTCTGGTCTCTCCCCTACTTTCTGTCTCTCTCTCCCACACAGTTTCTGAGACACCTGTGATACAGGAGTTTATAGTGACTGTGTAGACAGGACAGAATGCTCTTCTCTATGCATGTGTTCTAAGGGCTAGTCTTACAGACGGAAGTCCTTGGGGTACCTGCATATGTAAATGAGTGGGTGGTGCAGAGGAAAAGGGGGCAGGGTTCTGGCTGATGTTTGTGTCCCATGCTTCTGTGCAGAGGTCCCAGTGTCTCTTTACTCAAGATAGTGGAAAACAGACAATATAGCTGACCGGATGGCTTCCCCAAGTTGTCTGCGCTCACATTGTACTTTTTTTTTTTTTTTTATTTTTTACTTCTGGCAGAGAGAGGTAAAGGGAGAGTTGTCTCTCTTGCTCCGTCTATTTCTCTCTGTCTTACGCAGGTAGAGCAGCAGGGTCAATGAAGGTAAAAGAGTCCAGTCCTGTGGTCATGCCTGATGTAGTTTACTCAAGTCTGCCAATCACCAGAGAAATCCACACACGAAACCATGGGCCCTGGGAGAAGTGAGGGAGAACAGGCCGATATGAATAGAGGCACAACGTGATAAAGGATATTATATAATATCTTGAGTCATTACAGGACACAACAAGCTTCCTAATTATTCTATAGTAATTTAGAGAGCTTGGGACTACAAGTTTCTATCTGCATTTTTGTCAAAATTGAGTTATTGACATAGCTTTGTTCTGTTCAATGTTCTCTACCCATATAGTACTCTAAATATCCCAATTCATGTTGTTAAGTTAAAAAGAATACTAGATAAAAATAGCTGACACCATTCAAACCAATGAGGGTTTGGAACTTTAAAGCCAATTATCTCAGAATTATGTTTTTGCAGATACAGTAGAACCTTATAGTCTCAAGCTCTCGATTTATAAGTGTTGCCCTAATATTGGGTCTGGACTCGGGACTCATTGGTGGGCTTTAGATGGGTCACAACGCTTAAATAGCGACTGCCTTTAAAAAGCAACAAATCCCTTTGAAAAAGTTATATTTTATTCATTCTGGGGATTTTGAGGAAGTGAAATAGGCTCATGGGGGACAAACATCCTTAACCTCTATGGGATCGGTGGCCCGTATACGTGACGGTTGAGCTAACGTGCGCTAATGTGATTAGCATGACTGTTGTAAGTAACAGCAAACGTTCCAGGACATAGACATGTCTTATTTGGGCAGAAAGCTTAAATTCTTATTAATCTAACTGCACTGTCCAATTTACAGTAGCTATTACAAAATACCATGCTATTGTTTGAGGAGAGTACACAACAACAAAAAACGTATCACGGAAGTGTTCTATTGCGTAGCTGCCTCATCCTGTAACTCGCAGGGAAAACAGGATGGAAAACCGGTTGATTAAGATTCTAAGATGTGATAAACTCCAATAAGACTCTTCAGGTGAGCTGGAATGTAGCTGCCCAGGAGTGAAATCAGCTGAGTCACTGTGTATATACACCCTGTCGGGGATCTAAAGTGATCCAAGGGGTTGATCCAAAGTGGGAGTGTTGTGCGTGTGTGCGTGTGCGTGTGTGCATGCAATATTTCTGTAAAACAGTACGTTTTCTCAGTAATCAGAGAAAGGGAGCAAGAGAGAAAGTGGTTGATTCTCTGGAAGAGAAAAGAAACACACCCCCGCCAAGTTGAGTTCAGCCCAGCCTGACTTGCTGAGGTGTGTCCTCCTCTTTCAGTCTGGCTGCCAGCTCAACGCACACACAACACAATCACACCCTGACACCATACTTTAATACCTAGTATCAAAACATGTGTACTGTGCCTAGATAAAGGTGTCTGACTTGCATCAGGAAGAAACTGATTGCTAAAGACTTGGCTTCACAGTCGAGGCAACTTGACAAATGAGAGGAGGAATTTGCACATAACTAGTTGGTTCTTTTTTAATGTTTGTTTTTGTTAGTGACAGTTACATTGAGGTCGAGTCAGGAACAGTAGCTCTCAGAAAGCAGCTCTCAGCTTGAAATTAGGATTTCACAGTGAGCACTCTGTCGATAATTTCATTATTATATCAAATAAATCAATTATTTATTACAAAACATCTTGACATGTCTAATTCTCTCACCTCAATGATTAAATGAATAAGGACATTCTATAGCCTACACTTCTTGAATTCTATTGAACGTTAACCTTCTACTGCAGTGGGCTAAATCAGGGTCACACAGTGTGTTTCTTCGCAGTATTAAACAAATCTGCTTTAAAACAAAAGTATACACCTCACACATATGGTTATGGGCTTAGAAAAAAGAAGACACATGTCCCATGTCAGATATAGAGTTGAAATGTATTACATTTGGAGTTTGCATCCCAATATTAAACTTTATATACATCACAGAAGACTGAAATATAACAAAACCGTTCGACATAGAAACACCTGATTTTTGGCGTTAATTTTTTAAAAATGTTGATTAATTATGAAATTATGAAAAATATTAATAACATTCCACCCATGAGGCCACTAGAGGGCGATTTGGTCATTTGACTGCAGGAAAGGGGTACGTAGGGCCTAATATACTGCTACATCACTTTGAATAATTACACTCTTCCTTGCATCAAAGAAAGGTTGTAAAGTCAATAAAAATACAAAACTCACAGTCCAACCATAAAATAATCCTCTGTGTCTCTCGTAGAGCTGTGTCTGTGTGTGTCCACTCCTCATGTGCCCATGTCCGTCAACTCTCAGGAGGAAGTAAGTCCTGTGTGTGTGTGTGTCCTTTCCCATCAACCAGGCAATTCTAGACTTACCTAGGAATAACCTATATTCCTAGGTAACACACCTGTTGTGATGTGTGTCGCACCTGTCATGAGGTAACACACCTGTAACACACCTATTGTCAGCTGAGATGGGAGCTGTCGGGAGTGCCAGGCTCAGGTTCAGGCTCAGGTTGGGAACTGGAATATCAGCATTCCCATCACGTCCTGGAGAAATGAGTCGCATCAGCGGGGCAAACAACCACAACAGTGTCCCAGCCAGCCAAAAGCAGCAGAAGGGTGTGGCCTAAGAACCACGGTCACAACTGATTATAAAAAACCATCTCCTCTGGACACACACTCCTGAGAACACACCCCTTAGAACAATGGTTTCTAACCCTAGTCCTGGAGAGCTTTAGGGTGTGGGAACTTCTGTTGCAACCCAATACAATTGACTCAAAAAAATCAAGGTTGTAATGATTGGTTGACTAGTGCTGGGTTGTAACAAAAGCATACACATCATGTAGCTCTCCAGGACCAGGGTTGGTGACCACTGCTGAAAAACAGAGACAAACTGTCTATCTGACTCTCAGTGTAAAGACCTAATGATATCCCAGCAGAGGTAAATAAGCTATCAGCCAGTCACTACCCAGCATGCCCGGCGTGGATGTTTACTGAGGCCGCAATAAAGATGACAATCACATCCTGGTCCAACAGACCCACACCTGCCAGGGGAGCGTATCCGTGACAACAACAGGTAGGTAACCTAAACCACCAGGACAGTCAGTCAGAGAACACTGCTTCAATAAATCAAAATGAGAGGGCATTGAATAGTCATCATGTTCCCAAAGAAACCCAACTCTGAGCCGTACCTACCTTTTGACTGGCACAGAAATTCCAGATGGGCATGAATAATGTTCTAATCAGGAGAATCAAGTGTTGCTTAACATGAGCAGAGAAATTAGTAATGTAGTAGAGCAAATCTGCGCAGTGCTCAAGCTGAAACAAGCACTTTGAAGTCGAACAACACAAAAGTGTTAATGTGGCAGTTATTAAAAGTGTTGAATTAAGGGAAAACGGCACCTGAGGTCAGTCACACATACACACACAAAGTCAGTTAACGGGAACTATCAGTGTAGCAACACAGGATCCTTCATGTATGTGTGTGTGTATATGTTTATCCTCCAAAAAAAGGAAAGAGAGAGCACCCTGAGATGTCCATCTCTGTGAAAGATCAGCCCCCACTCACTGGGCACACTACGTCATTTCAATGTGGATAATTGGGTAATATTTGGCTGAGACGTTAATAAGTGAGTTTACAATCTATATTCACCCACTCAAAACACAGCCAAAGTTAGTAGAATTTCCAATGTCACTATGCTTCTACATCTGCATTGCTTGCTGTTTGGGGTTTTAGGCTGGGTTTCTGTATAGCACTTTGTGACATCTACTGATGTAAAAAGGGCTTTATAAATACATTTAATTGATTGATTGATTGATGCTTTCAACCATCTAAAAGCACAACCAAATTCCAATGGAAAAACAATGTCTGATTTTTGGTTTAGTTGTCACCCAAATAAATGTCTATCACTGCGCTTTCAACCATTTAAAAGCACAGCAAACGTTCAAATGGGAATACAATGTCAGATACTTTGTTTATTTATACAACAGATTCATGTGTTATCAGTGTTAGCAGAACCAAATTACCTGGATTGCACCAAGGCACTCTGTATTTAATTAATAAAAATGCCTTTATTTGTATGGAATGTTCAATGGAAGAAAGATTTTAAAACCTAACACGTTTTGGCTGCATGGCCTTCGTCATGGAGTACAAAGATTTTTTGGAACAAAGCATTTTCCAATCAACCCTGATGGAAGAGGGAGTGGTTACAAAGTAGTCAATATTAATTGGATACTATACATTCAAAAGTGAAATAGATATGTTATCAAAATGCATATTAGGTTAAAAGTATTAGAACATACTAGAAAATACTAAGTAGTTCAAGCCTTGAATAGGAGTGGGCAAATGCTGAGAGTAGGAGAGCCATACATTTTATAGTACACTAGATCACAGCAAACATGGACCACAGCAGTCCAAACATAGCAGAGGGCAATAGGGCAATGTGTCCACTAGATGACAGCAAAGGGACCACTAAGACCCTACAGGAATGGTGAGCAATCCATATCCC